TTTTTTTTGTTTTTTTATACAAATATGAAATATGTTGACATGTTTGTATTGTAAATATACATGCTCATTTTAGGCCTTTGGTTTAGGATGACTAACATTAACAATAAATAAATAAAGTAATAAATAATAACAATAACATTACATTAAATCTAATTTCTTGCCTTAGTTTTTTTTTAAATAAATTTTGGGCTTTTGGTTTGGTAATGTTGCACATTAGATGATGATGATGTAGCTTCCTTTTATTTTGTTTTTTTTTTAAAAAAAAATTTGCGGTTAACCGAAACCGAACCGCACCGAACCGAAAATTTCGGTGCGGTTTCGGTTCGATTTTTCTACATGTTTCGGTGCGGTTCGGTTTGGGTAAATGAAAAAATTCAGTTTTCGGTTTTTTGCGGTTCGGTGCGGTTTTGCACCGAACCGCACCATGCTCACCCCTAGCCGAGCCATCCAATGGCTCCATAGCAAAACTGCCAGTACCCAGACTTGCCCCGTTTATAAAATGGGTCGGCCCGACCTGGCCCATTTTTAAAAACAGGGCGGGTCGGGTCCGCCCCAAAAGACTCGGGGCGGGGTGGGCCAGTATGGGGCCGGGCCAAATTGCCATCCCTAAGTTTAACGTCGTTATAAAGTTCATGAGGCTTGCTTAAAACTTAGTTTTTAACTTGTTAAGACCCAATATCAGCTCATTAAGGTTTGTTGACGAGTTGAGCCTCGTTTATCAACACATAAACTTAACAAAGCGAATTCAACTCGACTCGATAAAAGTTGAAGCCTAAGTTTGAGTATCAGAAGCTCAAGTTTGGACCTAGCTCAGGAAGGCCTTGTCTGATTGTGTGGTTATAAATTGAGATAATTACCTAGGATATGACGAATAAGGGCTTGATTGTTTATGAGTTAGTTTACTCACTTTTATTTCAACTCCAAATTTAACAAACTTTAACTCAATCTCACTATCTTTAATATTATTCATATAATTAAATAATACAAACCAATCATTCTTACACATCACATCAACTTTAATTCACTATTCATCCACTCACATAATTTTAACTACCTATAATTTCCAATCATTTCCAATCATTTATCTCTTACTTTTACATCAAATCAATTTTAATCATTTTATTTTAAATATTATTTTAATACATTTTTAAAATTTCACTAACAACTAACTATACCACCTTTTCAAATTAACTATAATTAACCAAAATAACTCATTTTGAACAAATTATTTCATAAACAATCAAGCCCTAAGAACTTTTTTCCTTAAGATAATGTGCCGGAAATACTGTCAGAGGACCATTACAAAAGATCCATTCACGAGGGAATGGCCCATTGGGTTCTTCTTTAAACTATAACTATAAAGGCCCCTGTTATTGGGCCTATTGATTGGGTGAGGTTGAGCCTAATTGTTGTGTTATCTTAAATAATAGTAAAAAATTAATTACTCCATGCACCTTTACATTTATTTTTTATTTCCAAAATAACGAATTGAAAAGATGTTTTTTAAAAACATTATTATTCTCAGTTAGGGGAATGTTTGACTGAAATTGAAATTGACAGTGATAATAAATTGTGAACATTGACAGTGATAAAATTGTTAAGCTAATCCTTTCTATATATAATTTTCGAATGCGCTGAGCCTACGTGGTTGCCTCTGGTGCTTCGGAATTCTATTTGGCGAATAACCATACTTCGTAATTAGGTTTGGATAAATAATATTGATATACTAATAATTAATAATCTAGGTTCGGGTATTCCATAAATATTATTTATCTAACTTAGGTATTTTAATATCAGTTTTACTAATATAACCCTTTAATTTTTTGTAATTTTACAAGTGAAGCAATAAGTGACTAATATATCCCTGAATTTTGATTTGTTTCCTTCAATAAGCTATTGAATTATAAATGTATTGTAAAAGTTGATAACTTTTGTATTTCTTATCGGTTTTACATATATAATATATCAAATTAATCATCTTTTGATGATCTTCGATTTGACATCCATATTGTATATACGAAATAAATAAATTATATATATCTTTATAATAATAATAAATAATAATATTTATTAAAATTCATTAGAAAAATAAAATTATTTCCCAATTGATATATTTATATGTAATGTAGTTATATATTGTAAGTTAAAAAGAAAAAAGAAATTAGTATAATATAACACAAGTAAGTTGCACAAATAAAAAGTGTCATAATAAATATATAATAATATATATTCTTATAAAAGATATTTAAATTTTCAAACTACTTTTTCTCATTAATTTACATTTTAAGAAAAAAATTAGCAAGCACCCGTATAATACACGGGTGTTGTACTAGTAGTAAAATAATTCCAAAAGGAATAAACTCACTATTAATCTTGAGTTGAAAAAATAACGAAGTCTTAGCTGAAGGATCAAAGGTGAAAATCATCATTCCAAAATCAACCATCCTCAAATGTTCACATTGTATTTAATCAAACTTTTGGTCAATTTTTCCTCGAGAAAAAGGCGTTTTACTATGTAGTTCACGTAGACGTGACCAAATACCGGGCCTGCGTTCTTCAAATGTTGGGTCCGTAAATGGCCCGACAATTTTTATGGGCTGATTCATTTACCTAGCGGTTCACTGCAGGTTAAAAAAAAAAAGAAAAAAAAAAAAAGAAAAATGCAGGACCGGCCTTTAGAGGGTTCTGGGCCAGTTCGTAACTGGCCGGCTTATCCGGACCGGATCGGTTTGATTCGGCGGGCTGGGTTGGCCCGTGGCCATATATTAAAGATCATGGAACAGCGATTTCAGTTAATTAAACCAAGAGATAATAGTCCTTCATGGGACGCATCGAAACATTCGATATCTCACCGTCCGTTGACTTGTCATTTCAACTAAAATAATTTCTCATTAAGACAAAAGTCAAAATCATAATAGTTTGTTTAATAATTGACTAAAATTAACGCTTCACTTTTACATGATTGTCAATAATTAATAATGTTTGACATTACCAACAGAGAGTTTGATTCAAGTGGTAAGCAGTTTGATGTCGCTTAAGCAAGGTCACGGGTTCGAGTCCTTGTGAATGCAGAAAATTCTTGTTGGGAGACTCACCCACCATTGCCAGGTGTGCGACCCGGGTCGACCTAACAGATTAGTCGGGATAACGCTCCGGATACCGTGGCCGGCTACAAAAAAATAATAATAATAATAATGTTTGACATTTAATTTGAGATTAATATTATTCCTTAATGGGATTCACTTTGTTTGCTTGGCTGGGGCAAATCCAAGTAACTGATAGTTGGTATGGGGTCGCTGTTAGAGGATATAGTTTGATTATATTACTGATTCTAAATAAATAAATAAATAAATGTGAATTAATCATTAATTAATTTTTTTTCTTCAATCTATTTATTCTAAAATCAATATTTATTTTTAATCTTAGTAAGGGATTGTTTGATTAATAAGCTAATTGGTTTTAATGAATAGCCAAACACATTAAAATGGTATAAATAATTGTTATAATACTAAATCTAATATTTTTTTCCAGCTAATTACTTGATCACGATCCCTCCAAATTAAAAAAATTATACTATTTATTTTATTTTATGCAATCAATTTAATGATTCATAAATGCAATTAAATAGTTTTATATTGTTTACTTTTACTGATGATGATTACATTTTTAGAATGTAACAGTTGAGACGGACATTCAATGAGTTAAACTCGAGCCTTAACAGCTCGAGTTATAAAAAATTACATAAAAATTCTCATTTTCATCAAGTCATAACGGCACAATCTCGTTAACTAAACGAACTTGGGTTCCGCTATTTTTATCAAACTAGGTGACGCCAAACTCGTGAGCAGCTGATTTCGTTTAACAATTCCACCGCGACGTACAATTAATTAAAAAGTAAATAAATAAACTACACGCAACCACCAAATGATAAAATCTAATGATTAGGATGATGGATAAGTTGAACCCTTTAATGTAGCTAGCATTGTCAAATGATAGATAAGAGTTAATGATTTGCATGGATTCGTTGATTTCTTAATTTCTGCTAAAAAGATAACAAAAATAAATAAATAAATAAATAAATGTCAAATGATAAAAAAAAAAAAAAAATTGTCAAAATGATAAGTAAAACTTAATGAATGGCATGGAGGCGTTGAAATTTGCCATTTTTACGGGCAAAATATATTAGTCAATGTCATTTTTCACATGGTAATAACATAAGTAACTTTTCGATGGAATATACAATTTTCGTTAAAATTTTTTATATTCATTTCATATTTCAATGTATGGAAAATCTATCGTTAGAATTGTCAAAATTCAACGAACACTAAAAAACTCATTGAAATCGAATATTTTTATTAGAATCCATTGAAAAATTCTAACGAAAATTATAAATTTAGAATATACATTGAAATTGTTGTAGTAATTTCATTAGAATTTATTTTCTTTGGAATAAGTTTATAATTTTCTTGCACTGGTAGTTGAACGAAAATAAAAGTTAATTACTGAACAACAAATATTGGGAAAATGCTACGGTCACCTTATGGAACCGTTCCGTTGGTATTTGTAACCATTAGATCATCATGTAATCGTCATGGATAGTTGATGTAACGATTGAAAACCCTGACAGAATGATTTCGTAACGGGACTGTAACATCTCCCCAAATATAGATACTTGTTTCATAATTATTTTATAACCTTTTGCGTAGTATGTTTTTGCTTGGCATAATTCTTAAGTAGGATTTTTCATAAGCATCTTAGCCTATTTTAGCTACATTTAAATGTTACCCAACTGTCTAACACTAACATTTTTTTTTTCAAAGTTCGAATTATGTCAAATTGCAAGCCTATCAAATCACTATGTAAATCTTCAAACATGTCTCTCAATAGTTGTCAACAATAAACAATTCAACTACAACTCCCATAATTAAACTCTTAATTAAAACAGTGATTCAAACATTAATTATTTTTATAATTTGATATAATATATAGCTTACTAGAATAGTCATATATTTTGTAAGAGTATTATAAAAGAAAATATTAAAAGTAAATATAAAAAGTTTGCTTTCTATAATTAATGTATCATCTAAAAAAAAAATGTTGGGTATTGCATTGAGATTGTTAGCTCATTCGCTTAAAAGTTGTTATAATTAACTATATCATATCGTTTCAAAAAAAAAAAAAAAAACATTTGTCAAATAGCTAATAAATAAAAAACTACATCACACATAAAATAAAAACAGCTTCATCGAGCTCTTACATCCCGTTTAATAACTGAGTGATGTAGGGAAGCGTATGAATGAGACGATAGCTCGTACATCCCGTTTAATACCTGAGTGATGTATGAAAGCGTACGAATGAGACGAAATGAGATCGCAATCTCAAGAACACCAAACAATATATCAATTCATATTTTCATTCAAAAATCAACCACTGAATAATAAATAAGAGGGGTCTTTAAATAAGACACCCAAAACCCTAAAAGTTATCTTGTCCACCAAGCCACTAAATATTTAAATACTAAAATAATAATAATAATAATAATAATAATAATAATAATAATAATAATAATAATATTAATAATAATAATAATAATAATAATAATAATAATAATAATAATAATAATAATAATAATAATAATAATATAAAGTTATCTTGTCCACCAAGCCACTAAATATTTAAACACTAAATATTGAACCTAATATTATGTCAATTTGTTCTATTAAAAAAAGAATATATATAGTAAGAATATACTTTTAGTTTTTAGCTCCTGCGAACTCTTGCTTCTCGAGTTACAAATAGAAAAGACACAAGATTTTGATATATGATGAGAAATAAAATATACAAATATAAACATTGTTTATAATAATCTATTTAATTGTATATAAAAATTATTTATTCTATTTATGTTTCTTTATTTGATTTATGTCGAATAGTTCCGTGCATTTGCACGGGCTACGATACTAATAATTATTATAATAATAATAATAATAATAATCTAGTCCACACCACTGGTCAGCTTGCCTGATCAGCTCGACTCATCTAATAAACCTAAAATCTTAAGAGTTATTCGATTGTGAACTTAAAATATCCGCTAGTGAAAAGGTTTAATTAGTTCGAATACTTCGTTTAAAATATGTGAAAATAACCATTGTGAACTAGTAAATTTATTTAATTTGAATCCTTAACCATTGTGTATTTTATCCACTAAACTTCAATAATTATAATGAATTAATATTTTATTCATACCAAAATATCTTACGCAAATAAATTATCTAGAAATAATAATTACCTAACACATCCTATTAACATGAGAGATTATATTGGATTCTGATAAATAAATGAAATAATGTTGTGAACCCAAAGTTACTATGGTTATCCAATTTGATATATAACACACAAACCAACATTAAATAAGCCTAACAAAAATATAAACAAAAATTAAGTATACAAGAATTTATGTACATATATATTATAACTTCAATATCTATATCTATACTTATACAAAGAGCTATCCTATTTACTAAAATTAGTAGAAAAAAGTAGGCCAACATTTAATGCAGCTCATATATATTACTTTTTGTAATAAATTTGGATAAAATGTGTTACTTAAATATCTAAACAATTTAGAAATTCAAATATTGAAATTAACTGATAAACAATTTATAAATCTCTATTTTATTTAAATATGTAATTTTATTTATCGTATTGATCATACCAGTTCAACCGACTGGTGTTGACGGATTTATTAGCAAATATTTTATTCGAGTGAACTAGAATGATTATAAATTGGTTCTCGGTCCATCCGGTCGGACTGTATCCAATACTATTTAATTTAAAAATGATGGATAAATCTTGATTAATTTATTTATATATTTTTTATAACACAATCTTAATATTGTTTTCCCGCACGGGCCACGCACTAGTATATATAATACACCAACACAATTTAATCTTTTATTAATCATTTTCATTGGATAAGCCTTCTATATATGTATCAAATACAACATGGATGTAATTATGTAAAATACACAACAACACTTGAAAATTAGTCATAATGAATGTCATACTCAAATTATCAATTATTTGAATCTAATTAAATGCTGACGGGGCACAGGACTAACGCATTAATATTCCATATGAACTGAACTCATAAAATTCAAATACTATAAAATATATATTCTAGTAAGTAATACAATAGTCAGATGTAAATATTTATTTTTAATTTTCATTCTAAATCTTTTACTGCATTTTGCTGCTTTCACACTTGGGATTCCAATATCCATACGTTTTTCAACCTGTCAACAAAAGAGAAAATTTTTCACAATGTTAGCACACAATCTAATACATTTATATATATTTTCTCTCAAAAGTAAAAATAAAATACAAAAAATATATATAATACTGATAAATAAAAATGTACATAATTTGGGCACATTATTACAACTCTAATGTAAATAACAACAAGAAAATGTTACGGTCTCGTAACAAAACCATTCTCCTTGTATAAGTTTCAATAATAAACTGTCATGTCGCTTTTGTTTGACTACATCTAAAGGTGTATATTAAAATTAAAAGATCTGATGACTTGTATTGATTTGAAACGACACTCTATCATTTCCTATAACAACAACAACAACAACAACAATAATAATAGTAATAGTAATAGTTTATATGTAGAAAAGTATTTACCTTAATTAGTTAATTTATTTTCGAATGCCATTGCCCCGATAGGACTTATACTTGGGCAAGGGGACCCGACCCGACTCGATTCCGTGGATATCCTCGACGAGCTTCTGATAATGACGTATGACTTCTTCGACCGATTTGGTCCCGACAGCCCTCGCCAGATTGTGCCACCTGTCGGGGGTATCCCTGTCGTAAATCGCCAGCGCATCCTCGAACAACTTATTTTCCCGAGCGGTCCAATTCGAGCCGGAAGCCATTTTCTAATTATTATTTGTTTTTTTTTTTTTATTTTTTTATCACAAGTAAATGAATGTATAGAATTGAAAATATTCCAAGAGTTTGGAGTGAAGTGAAATTTGATTTGCCAAGCTTGTCTATTTATAGCCTTGAATTGAGGAGTTGGGGGTGTTGAGCTGGAAGGCTATATTTAGGGTGTAATTGCAATTAATTTGGGTCAAATTTTTTTGGTAATTGAGAGCGTGAATTTACTTGACTTTACAGTTTCCATTATGAGAATTATTACAGTAATTAACATGTGTAGATAAGATTAGGTTAATTAGTATTCCTACGGATAAAAATTATACTACTATGTAGAGAGGAAAATTCCACCCTATTTGTCAAACTCATATCCATGTAGATGTATGTGTATGATCTGACGGTTAAGAATGGTAAGAAAAATTACAAGAAAATTTACTCGATTGGTGTGGATCGGGGGCGGAGCCACCCCAAAGGCTGGGGTAGGCTCAAACCCAGTCCTATTTCCTTTTTATTTCTTAATGTATAATAGTAAAAGATATTTTAGTTCGTGTTATGTTAGACTAGTCACGATTAATCTTATTTTGGCTCCAAAATAAATTGTATTATTTTAAATTAAATCAATGAATTGTATTCTTGAAAATGGTTTAAGTCTCTTCTCCCCTTATCTTATAACTCATTATGTCGTATTCCTTCTTCTTTTTGTATTTACATTATATCATTGAGTCAAATAAAATTTATATAAATAATTTTATTCAAGACAATAAATGTTTGTGTTAGAATTCCACTAGAATATTTAATATGCGGTTGAATTTATTAATTTTATAATTTATTTATATATTTTTTTTCAAATAAATGGTATTTCAGCAATATAAAAAATACAATACGAAGTGTCATCTATTTATGTGGCACATTCAGTTAAATGATATATGTACCTCAAATGACATGTCAAACAACAAGAATAAAGCGTTTAGTATACCGTCTCATGACAGTCTTTTTAATAGATATATTAATTTCTAATTAAAATTCAAGTATATGAGAAAAATATCTTTGCATTTTAAATATAATAATTAAATAATTAAAAGTTATGATTTGTCATATGTATTAAATAATAGTCAATATAATTCACAGGTTTTTTTAGGATGTCCATAAAAGTGTTTTTTATTCTACAAATACAAATCTATATTTTAATATTATTTAATACGTGATTCATGTAATTTATATTAATACTTCAAAATTGTTTTTCATACTTTAATTTTTATAAATGTGTCTAGCCAGATTATTTGAGTCAACTGCTTCTTGTTTAAACTCGTGTACATTTTATAAGAAACGAGTTGTAATGATTAAACTCTTTTAATAAACAAACAGAAATATGAGCATGAGTTCGGATCGTTTAAACTCGGTTCCACTCATTGAATAAACTTTTAAATCTAGACAAAAACCTAAAATTCTAACCGAGTCGATCGCGAACACGTTCAACTCAACTTGTTTGATAGAAAAACTCGATTATTAATTGTTTGTCTTTAGCTCGTTTAAATATACAAGTGAGTCGAGTTTGACCTTTCACAAGGCGAATCGAACTATGTTACCGATAATAGAGATATTCATGCTAATCACAATTAGCTTAGTAGTGTTTTTCCTTATGCTGTCAAACAATTGATCCCTTGTCCTTTAGCACAGCTCATTTTTTTGTACCTTTTTATTCTTATCTAGCCTTGCATGGCTCAGCATGGCCCACATTTTACGTGGCCTATTCTAGTGGTTTAGCAGCTAGGGCTTTGAGGATTGCTGCAGGCTATCTGTACCTCTCTCAGCTATATATACTGTTCATAGGCTAGCAGTCTCTTTCAAGCAATGAATGCTCAATCATTTTCGGCTATGGCTTTTCATACTTTAAGATTTTCAGTTTTTGTTGCTTCCCAACATGGTATCAGAGCAGGTTTTTGAACCTGTCTCTGTTACCTTCTCCATCTTTCCTCTTTTCATGCTTTAATTTCTCTTGGCTTGTACCTTCTTTTCCAGCTAATCATGGCAGAATCGTCCACAGGCCACACAGGCTCTCCATTATCAATTTCAAGCCCTCAAAACAGCCTTATCCAACCCCTTCATCAACTAGTATCCATAAAGTTGACTGATTCAAATTACCTTTTGTGGAAACAGCAAGTTCTGACCACCATTAGGGGATATGGTCTTGAAAACTTCATCTCAAAGGCAGATCTGAAACCACCTCAAACCATTGTTGCTGAAGAAACAGGCCAAATCACTGTCAATCCTGAGTATGTTAGTTGGATAAGACAAGATCAGCTTCTCTCCTCTTGGCTATTGTCCTCTCTCTCAGAAAATCTGCTCATTATGATGGTGGGCAAGAACAGTGCTCAAGAGATCTGGGAAGCTCTTGAATCAAATTTCTCAGGTCAGTCTAAAGCTAGACTTATGCAGTTTAAGCTCCAACTCCAAACCCTCAAAAAAGGAACTTTGTCCATGAGGGACTTTCTTTCTCAAGTTAAAGGATGTTGTGATGCTCTTGGTACTGCTGGAGAACCTGTTAGTGAGCAGAATCATATTCTTCATATCCTTGGAGGTCTTGGAGCTGACTACAATGCAGTTGTGGTTGCTGTAACCACAAGGATAGAACCATACACCCTCAATGAGGTCTACTCCATGCTGCTCAGTTTGGAATCTAGATTGAAAATTTCTTCTCAATCTGTGGTTAACATGGATGGATCTGCCCCATCTGCACACTTTGTCTCTCAAAGCCCAGGATCCAACAATCACAACTCCAAGAACTCAAACAACCAGCAACCTCATAACTTATTCACCAGAAACAACAACTTTCCCTCAAGAGGAAGAAGAAGAAATCAGAACTACAGAGGAAGAGGTGGAAGGTACAAAGGCAACAGACCAGCATGCCAACTTTGTGGCCTCTCAAACCATACTGCTGAAAGATGCTATCACAGGTTTGACTCTACCTATCCTGGACCAACAAATATGCAAGCTCAAGTTGCTCAAACCTTTGCTCCCCATCAAGTTCAACCCACTGCACATTTCTTGGGCCAAGCCAGTGATGTTGGGTCTGAGTCCAGCTGGTTTGCAGACTCAGGAGCTTCAAATCATGTCACAAGTGATTTTTCAAACCTCAACCTTGCATCAGACTTCCAAGGCAACAACAAACTACAAATTGGTAATGGAACAGGTTTGTGCATTTCACATATTGGCAGTTCTTTACTTAAATCAAATTTACATCACAAACCTTTTGTCTTGAATAATCTCCTTCATGTCCCTACCATTACCAAAAAACTTGTTAGTGTCTCTCAATTTGCCAAAGATAACAGTGTCTTTTTTGAGTTTCATCCTAACTTTTGCCTTATCAAGGACCATGTAACTCACCAAACTCTTCTCAAAGGATCTCTTAAAGATGGGCTCTTCATGTTTGATGCTCAAGTCCATCATTCTCCTGTCAAGACTGTTTCCAGCTCTCCTTTCATGAACCATCTCAATCCAAGAACCTTTTTAGCTTTCTATAATAAAAATTCCAATGTGCATCTGTGGCACTCTAGACTAGGACATGCAGCTTTAGATGTGGTAGTAAAAGTTATGAAAGACTGTAATGTTCCTTGTTCTAGCAATGAAAAGTTTATTTGTGGTTTTTGTTTGCAAGCTAAAGCTCATGTGTTGCCATTTACTGATTCAACTTCTTCTTATACTGCTCCTCTCCAACTTATTCACGCAGATGTTTGGGGTCCTTCACCTATCATTTCTAACTCAAAATCTCATTACTATGTCTGCTTCATTGATCACTATATAAGATTTACCTGGATTTATTTCCTTCACAGAAAATCTGATGTCCTTAATGCCTTCACTCACTTTAAAAACCTCATTGAAAATCAACTTAACCTTAAAATTAAAGCTGTCCAAAGTGATGGTGGAGGAGAATTCATGGCTCTTACCAAAACCTTCACTGATTCTGGAATTCAACATAAAATTTCCTGTCCTTACACACCATCTCAAAATGGTATGGCAGAAAGAAGGCATAGAACCATTGTGGAAACGGGACTCTCTATTTTATCTCACTCCCAAGTTCCTCTTAAATATTGGGATGATGCTTTTAGCACAACCATATACATTCTTAACAGACTTCCCACTAAATCCTTGGATTATATCTCACCTTTGGAAAAACTGTACAAACATAAACCAAACTTTTCCAACCTTAAAGTCTTTGGTTGCCTTTGCTTTCCAAATCTCAGTCCTTATAATAAACACAAATTACAACCAAGGTCTCTTCCTTTCACATTTCTTGGCTATAGTTCCAAACACAAGGGTTATAAAGTTCACTTACCCAGTGGGAAGATTATTGTTTCCAGATATGTGATTTTTTATGAGAGCCATTTTCCTTTTCTTAAACAAGCCTCCACTACAAACTCTGTTGACCACTCTATTCCCCACATTTCACCACCTCTTGTTCTTACACCCCTCCATAATCTTTTTGTACCCTCATCAAAGCCTACTACTCAGTCAATCCCTCCATCTCATTCCACACATCCAACACAGTCTTCATCTACTTCAAGATCCCCACCACTGACCACCTACTCCTGCTAGTTCCACTTCCAAATCCTCCTCCCACTCTCCTGTCTTAAATAACTCATCACAACACTCATCTTCCAGTAACACCACTATCCCTCTATTTGTTAATCTGCCAATTGTGAATGCCAATATACCTGCTTCTTTACCTAACAATGCTGTGCAGGAACCAAGCCACCATTCCATGGTTATCAGGTCAAAAACAGGCAGTTTAAAGCCCAAAGTGTATTTAGCTACTAATCTTGATTTGCAGGAACCATCATGTCACACTCAAGCTTTAACACATCCAAAGTGGAAAGCTGCTATGGACACTGAGTACAATGCTTTAATCCATAACCACACTTGGTCTCTGGTCCAACCTCCCTCTCACAAACCCATTATTGGCTGTAAGTGGATTTTTAGACTCAAGTATAATGCTGATGGC